AGCAGGACCACAATCATACCAAGCATATCCCTAGCATGCTGAAATCAATACAGCTACCTTGATTTAATCAAACTAAAGTGGACTATGTAATGTAAAATATGGATGCCCAGTGAAACATACTCAATTGAGTTGCTCATACACATCAGCAAGTTTTATGGAAATCAGTTCTTTCAGATTCCTTTTTTTTTTCCTCATCACGCAGTGTTAGCACATCCGTAACACGTGGCATAATCTGACATAAATCAAAGTTGGCTGTTTTCCTAGTGATGCTAATTTCTAGTAAGTCTTGTGATCTGGACTACTCACCAGATCAAGGCAAAGGGCTCCAGAGCTGGGATCACACCAGGGGACTCTTCCTTAGTGGCTAAAAACTGCAGCAAAGCACAAGGAGGGAGAGGCTGCCCAGGCAGGGAGAGTGAGCACCTGGGGGGCAGCCGCTCTGCAAGGGGCTGGGCAGGGACACCCCCTGGGACAGGCCCCAGGAGCGGGAGAACTGGGCTCAAAGGGCACGGCAGGGCCTGCAGGCAGGCGAGCACGACTGGAGGCCTCACCCTCCCAGGAAAACCACCAGCAATGGTCTCCACTCAGTCCAAAGCCATGGTCAGAAGACACATGGCGACCTAGCCCGACATTCATCAGAAACATGCAGCCGTGCAGGTGTGGAGAGTCTGAGCCTGTCTCTTGCCAGAGGACAGCAAAGACCTGTGCGCTGCGACCAGGTAACTGGTGACTGAGCTTCAGGACGAAGTAGAGAGATTCAGGACTATCTGGGAATGTGAATGGGAAATCACTGTGGTGAAATCGCACCCTTTCAGTTTTATTGAATGAAGGCTGCTGCTTTGGAACACCAGATACTGCTGTGAAGATAAACCATCTAGTTACAACATGCCAGCTTCTGGCAACGGCAGCCAGAAACTCTGTTTAGGAACCTGCCTCAGCAGCAAAGCAGTGGTTACACCTCTGCTCAGCATCAGCCTTCCTGCCAGGCACCCCGGTGCCATGGCTTGCCATCAGGCCTCCACGTCCAGGCAGCTTTAAATGCCTGATCTTCTCCAGTCACTGCCTGTGAAGAGGAGATGTGTTTGGCAGCAGAAGGCATAGTTAAGGAGTAAAGAAACTGTAATGGTATGTTTGCCTAATTTCTGTATTGTTCACAGGATTTCTATGAAAGTATCTTGAAGGTGCTTGGAGAAGATGATGAAAATGAACAAGACGAAGTAGTTAAACTTAAGCAGGGCTTAAGGGAACTGCCAGAAATACAAGAATTACACCAAGACATCCTAGGAGAACTGGAAGAAAGAGTACTTAAATGGTAAGTACAGAATGTCATGGTTTGGTTGCTTTAACCTACCCTCCACAGCAGGTGGGTGAACACATCAGAGCTCCCTTAACCTCACTAGTAGGGAGGCTGGGACTTCAGCAGAGGTGAAAGGAATAGAACCTGAACTACTTTTTCAGATTTTGTAGGCAAGCAGGAAATAAATGTAGAGCTCGTCAGGCTAAGAAACCAAATACTGAAACGTCTGCATAGTGAATAGCTCATGAGTCCAAAGTGGCCCCATTGTACCGTGAGGACATCCTGCTTTGTAGGCATTATCTTCTGAAGCCAGTTCATAGTCATCACCAAGTGGCTTCACACTCATGGCTTGAAGGTCACAGGCTCATGCCATAGGAGGCAGAACAGCAGACTGATCCTGCGGATCATCTGCTCACAGAAATCTACATGGCAAGAGTATAGTGCTGGGATAAGAGACACCCCCTGGCTCCCAGCACCAAGGCAGGACTCTGGGCTGGCTGGGCTTCCAGACAGACAGACACTGCCAGCCTGCTGAGGGACTCCACCTAAGCCAAACATCCTCACAGGGCTAAGTCTTTCCATGAAGGAATAAAACCATGCCTAGGACAGATAAAGTTCCAAAATTAATTGAACCAAGAAGGCCTCTTACCTAAGTCAGGCTGCCAGGCCCTACTAGTCTGTCAAGCTGCTGGACAAAGAAATGTCTGAGATAAATTACCTCTGCAGACCCATGCTGTCTAAACCTACCACAGCCCCTGGCGTAGACTGAACTACTCTGGTTCTGACAGCTTGTGATGGATTATGCAGCCCCAACACCTCCAACCGTGATGGACTCCAGGAGTAGTATCACTGACAGTGGCTGATCCTACCCCAGCAGTGCCACTGAGCAGTTACGGAATTACATCAGGAGAACTTTTCAGAAGTCAAAGCATACAGGGAAAGAAAAGACTAAAGGAAACCGTATAATGCTTTGTGCCCACCAAAGGACTGTTACAAATGGCAGAAAGACTTTAAAAATGTAATTATTTATGATTTACACACTTAAAGCGTAAACAGAAGTGGTGTTTCCAACTAGGATTTAAAATTACTTGTGTCCTAAAGAAGTCACAACCCTACTCCAGCAGCATGCTATCCATTCCCTAAGACAAAAGGGTCATAGTGGGAAGTACCCTAAGATTCTCTCCAGAACTAATCTGTGGCACTGGGGAAAAAAAAAGAGGACTGTTCTGGAAATGCTGCCAGCACAACAGAATGACAAATGGCCCAGGGGAGTGCTTATACAGGTTCCCAGGTCATCACCACTCTTGAACCTTCCAGTAAGTACTACCCTGTGCCTGCAGTTCCCCAACACTCTGTTGCCCTGACATCCCCAGAACTCATGTTCCTCATTTAACTATGATTACTCATTTGCAGTCTCACATTTTGTCCTGTTCCTGTACTGCTTCTGTAAAAATTTCAATACTGTGCAACTGGGTGCAGAGACAGATGGCTGTGGAGCAGTGCTGAGATGGGGGCAATGAAGGAGAGCTGAAGATATTACAACTGAAGATGTAATATTGTCCCCCACAAGCAGAGCTCAAAGCACTGCAGCAGCCAGAAGGTCTGTTTAGAGAAGCAGCAGCTCTGTCTAGAGAGGACACAGCTGTGTTCTACCCACTACAGACACACAGTGCTGCTACCGCAAAGGCACAGCCAAAGGATCAGCCCCTTATGGTGCCCATTCCACAGCAGCCTATTTTGTTGTCCAGTATTTCAGAGAAGCACTCCCTCCCTCCTGCCATTTCACCTAGGCTTCAGCTGCACAATGTCCTTAGCCACTGTGAGTCTAACATAGCAAGAAAGAAGCAAATGTGGCTCTTCTTTAATTTTTATTTATTTAACTGCAGCTTCTTTTCTTTCTGTGACCTTAGGGAAGAACACCAGAAAGTTGCTGACATTTTCCTCTCCAGAAAATCAAGGCTGAATCACCACATGGCATACATTATGCAGTTTGATAGGAATTTGGCTTTGCTAGATGAAACCTGCCTTAAATATTCCCAAATGACTACTGTAATTCAGGAGTTTGAGGTAAGGCTACCATACCATTTTTACCTGTACTAATGCATGGTTGTGCAACAGGGCTTACTCAGATTTTTTTCTGCAACTCCACCAGTATTTACACAGGGGAAGATGGGAGAAGAGCTCTCCTCACATGTCCTAGTACCCAGGCTGAAGTGAGATGTTCACTTGTGTGTTGTGCATCTGTTGCCCACACCCCCATGCATGCATACAAATGTGTGTTTGTGAATCTACAGATCTGTGACTTTATTTTGCTGAAATATATTAACTTACTAGAGTAGTTTACCAGTCACATAATAATTTATCAAGCTCCTTGAGGATGTGTTAAGACTTTATTACTATCACCATATTTTAATATCTTGCCTTCTTTCATTGCATTTTACATCCTTTCTTTTGTATTTGGTCTGACCAGGATGAAGTGAGGGTTAGCCTGCATAAGTGCTTAGCTGTTGGCAGCAATCAACCCACAATATCTGTACAATTGCCTTTCTTTGCATTCTAAAATGTCTGTTAACTGCTTCCTCTGTTTGGAGAGGATGTTGTGACAGGCAACACTGACTCGAACAGGAAGACACAAACTCCACTGGCAAGACATATACAGGGTTCAACTCATCTAGACTCCCTGAGTGGTCTGTAACCTCTAGGACCATAACCTGTGGCCCTGTGGCAGGAAGCACATATTTTCTAGTTGTGTTAACTCAGTCATCTGTGCTGAATAATTGAAAAATCATCAAGGTGACACAAATTCCATTACTGCTGATTACATTGTGAAGTACTGGCAGTGTGGCCACTTCACATCAGTCCAAAACCTGTATGTGGATGGGAAAGTTAAGTTGGGCTACCCTGACTCTATTGAGCTAAAATGGCTAAAAACTATGCTGCTTTATTGTGGGTCTAGAATCCTGGTTTCTTATTATCTTCATGCAGTAAGAGAAATAACAACTTTTGCAGGGGTGGTTGAGGCACTGTAAGGATAAATTAGTGATTGGATCTTAAAGGTTATTTAGAATGCCAGCTCTATGCGTTATGGGTTTTATTTTTCACTGCAGCATGTGTGAAATATTAAAGATAACAATTTCAAAAGACATCCTAAAGTCAGCATTTACAAACAGATACCTTGCAGTCACCACAATTGTTTCCTGTTAGCAACTGAGGGGAGCTCTGATGGCTCATACTGCTCTGAACATCAACTTGACAAATGCAGGCTTTCTACTGAGAGCCTGTATCCCAGCTTTCTTCCCAGCCACATGCTTATGCACTTCTGTCGTAACTATCAACCCTAATGATTAACTCTTACTTCTAAGAAAGCACATGAGGCTTTTCCTATGATGAGATCAGCAGGATTTTGCCCCAGAATCAGTGAGATCTGTAACTTCTTGCCCTCTTGCACACAGGGAGATCCTTTGCTGCATTTTGCTCAATTCCATGTATTGAAATAAGATACTAAGAAGTTGCAGGGAGAAGAAACTTTCCAGTCCAAAAAAGGAATAATTATGACAAGCTTCATTGAGATCTTATACCTCTGTCTTCAAATTCCCCCCTGAAATCTTTATCCAACCTTTACCTTCTAAATGGTATTAGCTTTCCTCCCACTTCTGAGTCCAAACTATTGGTGAATGATGCCACAGGAAATAAACTGTCCATAGTACTTCTCTATAGTCACAAAGAAAATAACCCTTAGCAAGCTGGATAAATTGGGAATGGTTCAACAATATTGTGCATGCAACTGTAGCAAAATGTCATAATACAAACCAGGTAGAGACGATAGTCTGCTGCAGAGCTCACACATGCCTGATCTTTGTGTTTCCTTTCCCTTCCATTGAGGACAGCAGAGCTCTGGTGGGAGCCCTCAGACTCTGAAACACCAGCTTTTGAAAGTAGTGCAGCGTGTCTTCCAGTATCATGTGCTGCTTACAGGTCAGTGAAACCATTCTTAAAGGTATTCCATGGAGTAATTTTCCGTGCTTCCACCGTGCCTTGTGATGATGCCAAGGCAGCTAAAATAGGGCTCAATCCTGTGGGATTTCCTGGGAACTTCAGTAAGCTTAGTACAGGATTTAGGAAACATTAGGAAGCCTGTGAAGGAGCAGGCACCTCTTCAGCACAACCATGGTGATGGTCCCAAAAAAGTATAAAGTCAGCTGCTTTTAGCCATTCCTTCTTGGCTTTTTCCTTCTGTGAATTAGGAAAGGTGGAGTTCTATCTCACTGCCAGCAAACAGATTTTATTTATGTCAAGAGCAATTATCAGAGACAGTAGGGGACAGTAGTCCCGAGCAAGGAGACTCTGTACTCCATCCTGTATGACAGTGGAGAGCACCATCTCCTCCTTCTCCATCAACAAAGCAGTTTTGCCCAGTACTGCTCCCTAAACCCTATGTACAGTACACCTAAGGCTAGTGATAAGATTGAGTCAAAATCCCAGTCCAATTTCTCTGCATTGTAGAAGGCAAATATTCAAATTTATGTTAACAGTACAGATTTTACATTTACAGGAAGACCTTCCCTTTACAATGAGGACCGTATATATGTATATATATTTTTTGCTTGGGGTCTCTCCAAGGGGAAGTGTGTTCCTTCTGGTGGCTCATTCTCTGCAAGACACAGCAAATCTGCTAGATTTCTGGAGTAGGATGTGGCCCCCAGAAAGAGCTGGGAAGTTTAGGTTTGCAGCTGATGAACTGGTTGGGGAAGGAAATAGTGAAATGTAACAATAAATCTCAGTCTTGTCAAGTAACTTAGATGAGAACACAAAAAACCCAACAGGAATCCATAGACATAAAGACAGATACATGCTTTGAGAGTATGTGTATGTGTGGGTGGAGAGGGATGCAAGATAAGTGGATGTGTGTGTCAGGAAGAAGGAAGCCATAAACCGCCTATACTCAACAGCCAATGAAAGGCACAGCATATTAGCAGGGACTCCTATAAATGCAGCAGAACAAAGTGACCATATGAAATTTTTATTCACAGCACAGATTAGCAGCAGTTTCTTCTGTTCCAGACACTTTGATCAAGGATGCAACTCATTATTCACAGCTGGCTTTGCTTTTTCAGTACGAGCAATACAAATGAATACCCGATGCCAACAGCAGGACTTTTTTTTTCTGTCTGACTTACTTCCCCCTCTGGCTGTGTCTACACCAAGGACAAATTTCAAGACCTGAGAGTTGCAGTACTTCATAGTCTCACACCTTACGGTGTTCTTAGTGCATGCACACAAATACTTTCTTTAAAAAAACAGACCTGGCATGTGCCTGTCAGAAATACCTCCAATACGCTCCCTTTACTCTGCCCATTTTTGTGGTCCAGAAGGTTAATTGCAAACATGAAGTGTGGAATTTTGTGAGAGAGCTGGAAGGGTTTTGGTGCATCTCCAGTGACTGGATTTCACCTATGCTTGAAGCAACTTGAGCTTCAACTTGTCTCAGGTACTGGCACTAACTGGGAAAATGAAAGCTTTTGTGTATACTGCAGTAAATTCTGGATTAAGATATTCTGGAAAACAGGTTTACTGCTTCAGTTCTTCACCTCAAGAAACCAGGCCCTAAGCTAGGGCTAGGGCAGAGTGGGTCTGGAATAGTGAAGCTTCAGATTCTCTAGACAGCATAAAAAAGTTGAAATACACAGGTGTAGTTGTGTGTTCGTAACTGGCAGTTTGTACCACATAAGGAGGGGTATTTTATTAGGACATTGGTAACCAATTACTGCAGTACAGCCAAAAGGAGTTGCCCACTCAGTTAAATGTCCATAGCCAGGGACAGAGCTTCTCAGCTATGAAAAGGAATGCTAAATATTTCCTGGTAACACCACACAACCCCTTCCTGCCTGAGTACAGGCAAAGGATTTCCTAAATCCATGTAAAGCCAGCTAGATTTCAGGACACCAAGGAAGACACAGCACTAGAAAGAGAAATGCACATGGATAGGACTTTCAAGGAAACAAATACTCATGCCAGCACCATCCTCAGCACAGAGGCCCAGTTCCGCAATGCAGAATTTAGGAGTCCGAATTAATCGGAAAGATAAGAACCAAGTATTTCAGGATTAGGCTTTTTAAAATGGCGGCTCTCATATACTAGTTGCATAAAGACACAGACAAAAAACAGATTATTCAAGGCAAGTAGTTCAAATAAAACTAACAGGTAAAAGTTTTTTATATAATCCAGATATGTTTCCCGCAAATATAAGTCCTATTGTGTGACTTTTACAGAACTATTTTGAGAATGTGATTGAGTTCAGTCGTAATAATTGAACTCTGCATGTACAGAACCAGAGTCTCCTTCCTGTGTCTATAAAATGCATATAATTCATTGAATACAGAAAATCAGTCTTTACACAGCCAATACGAATCATTCAGATGGGAAAACAGAATTCATCAGAAAAACAATTATTTGTAAAGTGGTGTTACTCAGCAATTCTCTTGGCTGAGAAACAAGGAAATATTTTTGTCACTCTCAGTTCATTAGTTTTATACTGCTAAGTTATGTGATTAGTCCAAATCTGTATCAATGCTCTTGTAATGATTCTCAAAGTAGAATGCAGTCAAAGATGAGTTTTGTTTTGGAAAGAGGCTATACACACTTAATCTATTTGGGAACAAAGTGAGATGGGACATTACTGTCCCATGGAAGTGTTCAAGGTCAGGCTGGACAGGGCTTTAAGCAACTCAATCAGCTGTCCCTTCCCATGGCAGGGGGGGGGGGGTTGGACTAGATTATGATCTTTAAGGTCCCTTCCAACACAACCCATTCTATTTTTAGCATTTTATGTTTTAGGTAATAACACTATAATTACGTTGATCTGTATTCTGATTACTGGATGTCTGTGTTGGTTTGGTTATTTTCTACAGATTACTTGAATAATCTTTGCCCTGATTCTACAGAGTATGAAGCTACACAAGGTAAAATGAAAGGGGTGGTACAACAATTCTGCTTTTATAACTCTGCTTCTAAAGAAGTACAGGATATATACCGGTAATATATGGAAGAGGATTCTTTTCAAGAGTTTGTGTTAACAGGGTAGATGAAAGATCTGTAACAACTGATTGCTAATTTATACATTGAAACATGTGGGCCTCCCATAGTTTTGACACAGTGAACTTACAGAAGAATATATCATCAAAGTATCATCTATACAAGTGTGGTACAGATACTCTAGTCCTGCCCCAGTCCTCAGGAAAGTCCTAGTCCTCTTTAGCTCTGTCCATATTTGGCCTGGTCATTGTAAAGTCAATTGGCATGGCTCCACCTGCTTATTTGTGTACCACTATCTATGGCATGGCTCTGAATTCTGGAGAAACCTAGGAGGTTTCAATTGTTTCTGTATTCCTAAAGCCTAAGTGAACTTGAAAATAAATCAGTTCTGCAAAACCAAGAACAAATCCAGATGTTCAGCTGCTAACACCACCCTTCCCATCCCATCAGACGGATATAGTAGAAGTTTCTTACTCCCACTGAAGTCAAAGCTAGGTTTAGCTGTGGCCTCAGTAAGCTAAAGGCTAAAGTAAGGAGTAACACTGCTTTAATGAAACCAGTTCACCTCTCTGTTACACGGAGCATGAATCCAAACCAACTCCCAGCAATAAGGTCTGCAACTGACTAAAGGTTGTTCTGGCCAAGAGTACAGTCTTGTGCAAGCTTCAGGACTCCAGTCACTGACAGTGGGACTAGAGCTATACCAATAATTCAAACAAGGCAAGGCCAGGGCAGACACTCAAGCTCTGTGGTCACAATTGCCTATTTTGTTTGTGGTTTGCACATGCCTGTCACTTTTCTGGCCAGCAATGGCAAATGAGCTCCCAGATGATGCCCAGAAACAGATAGGATGCCCTGTTCCACAGGGTAAGAGAATTGAGAGAAAGACCTGAGCCGTGTTATGCCACTGCTCTCAGAGACAGCAAACATGCCCTGGCTATTTGCTATGAAGAATCCAGGTGTTAATTCATGTCAGCACTTCATATACAATTCTGTCAGAAAGGGGTGTCCTGCCCCCTCTCTCCGCATTAGGGGGAAACAGATCACCTCAGACTGCCATGCGTTTGGATGCCTAAAGCTGGGTTACATTAATCTCTCTCTACCACAAGCTCCAATTGCCAAAAATCTGCAAATAAAAAACATCACAAAAATATTCTGTGCCATGCTCGGTGTTTAAAAGGGCCCTCATGAGCTCTCTTGGGTCTGCAAAATCTCATGCAGAGTTTCCCACACAAGAATGATGAAGGGAAGGGGAACTGTCTTCAGTTTGCTGGGCAGATGCCTTCCAAAGGTGCCAAATAAGTTAAATAAACTGCTGCTAGGGATATTGTTTGCTTTTTTTAATTATGCCCTTGCCAACAGGCTTCAGGTTATTTTCCTACTCTGTGATGTGATTTATGGTGTTTGTTTTCCTCTACCCCTCAGCTGCCTTATTCGTTGTTTCTGAAATCACAGACCGAGCCAACGACAGCATGCTCCAAGCGGTGAGTCCTCACATGACACCTGCTCTCCAAATCAGCTGTGTCTTTTCTACACATCTGCTGAAGTGAATACATATCTCTCCTAAATTCTGATGCCTGCTCCAGGGTGAGACTCAAGGGTTTATACAGATCTGGTTTACAGTACTCCAGATATGGAGTAGGTCTACGCCCCTTTGCACAACTGTGCAGGCTGTCAGTCACTGTGGCAAGGAGCACAAGGTTTATTCCCTCTTGGGGTTGTGGAAATAGTATGTGGAGCAGTGAAATGAGAGATGGGACTTTTCATTGGTTTGTTTCTAACCTGACATGTTTTTAGATATGAAATGTTGAAGATATCACAAATGTACTATCAGAGAGACATGCTGAGCTCATTTACATAGTTTTTCCACAAATCTGGAATCCCATTTTACTTCAGAAGAATAGATCTCAAGCCATGACAAAAGATAAAGATTTTGAGCATTCTGAAGTTCAAGGCTTTTAAGTTCAAAACTCAAAATTCAGATCTGTATATTCACTCAGTGCTAACTTTAAATAGCTTGGACCTATTAATTTGATTTAAATCCATTTCTGCTTTTCTCCTCCAAGCTTCTCAACATCCCCACCCCCACCCTGGCACATGTTCCTCAGAACACATTCCCCCTTCATACAATAACATCAGCCCATTCACTGTGTTGATGTGACTCTGTAACAACTCAAAAACCTTCAAACCTTCATCCTAAAGACAGCAGGTGTTTTTGTTGTGGTTTTTTGTTGTTGTTGTGGGGTTTGTTTGTTTCTTGTGGTTTTTTTTATAATTCCTCCTGATTGCTAAGGAAAAGTTCCAAACAGGAATCACGTGTAAAGAAAGCAGCACACCGAGCACTTGCTGAGTGTAGGCTGTCAGCTACACTGATCTCTTGGGTTGCTTACTCTCAGCTTTAGTTGAACATACTTTGGGTACCAGGACAAACCATTTTGTCATGAGCCATAGCAGATAGGATGGGGACAGAAGTTGTGAGGGAAGTTTTTGCAGATGAAATGGTAGTTGCATTACAGTCAAAGAAAAGTGAAGAAGGAAAAGAGAGAGAAAGCAGCATATCAGAAAAGCAAGATGCATGGACGCAATTATGTTCATATAGGCTAATATTGATCAGCATTAACAGCAATAACCAGCAGTCAATTACTACATAAAGACTACTCCATTACCAAGAAAAAACAGATGTAGATTGCAGGGAAGATGTGGTCTCACTCTCACAGAGTTACCATAAAATGAAATGCCATCTGTCCCCTCTAGAGAATTACACTGAAACTGTGGACTTACTGATCAAAATTGTCAACAGGTTTGATTCTGATTTTCTTTCTCTTCAGGCAAAGAATTTACAATAATAGCTTTCCATTCTTAAAGCATTCTTCATACCAAAATAACAAATATCTTGTCATAAAACCAAGATCTTAGGAAGAGTTTATACAGTAAGCTCAGATATTTAGAAATATCTGTATTATAGGTCGAGAACTGTAAGAACTCTGTTCTTAAGAGAGCATGGTCACATCTTTTTGTGGTACCTCTGCTTCCTTAGATTTCACTCAGATCTATGGGAGATTTGTATGAATATTTTTGTGAAGTTAGAAGTACTCAAAAGTAGCCAGTACAAATTTGCTGTTTTGCAATGATTTAAGCTCCAGTAAGCCCTGTTCTAATTTGAAGAACATCACTGTATTGAATGAGTTTTACAGATGTCACAGACCATATAAGAATTGCTATTAATAATGTCTGTTTTGGAACAATTTAATAAAAAATTCCACATAGACTTTTTTCACACTTCGTCTTTTATCAAATCATCAGAGCACATCTGTTCTTTTTAAAACTGTGGCCCAGAGGAGATGAAAGAAAATTTCCTTCTTTCCCATCTGTGTAAATCCTGTGGGTTTTGTAAAGCTGCAGGTTCATGAGAATCAAAGTTCAATATTCTGCTAAATCAGATGTTGCCCTCCTGAATTAATATCCCACCAGAAAAGCCACAACCAGCAGGTATTTTCTTTCTAATCTTAAAAAAAATGCAGAGATTTAAGATGATACTCTAATTACAGAACAAACTGAACAATGCCACTCAAGATACAGCATTAATAACTTGCCATGTCCATGGTTGAACTTCTAAGCAATAATTTAGAGTTGGTATGTACCTGGAAGGGGGAAGATTTCTGCTGCCGCTTATCAGCTCATCAAAGTACACTCCAAAAATCTGTCAGGAGCATTGAATTATGATCTACATTTTCTGCAGAATATCAAGGATTCAGTATTGATATATGTATATCTATGGTTATTCAGGGTAATATTGTAGCCCTATCCTTTGTGATATATACCTCTGCATAGCTTTGATTCAGAAGCAAAAGATCAGAAGACCAGTTATAGCAATGGGGACAGTGATGAGGAAAAAGAGATTTTTTTTATCTTTTTTTTTTTTTTTTTTTTTTTTTTTTTGTGAGAGTAACACTCTAGCAGTTTCCCCCTGGGAACTATTAACCCAGGATTTTCAGACACATGTTGATATTAACAACCTCCTCAGCATTGTCATCAAATAGGAAAATATTATTCGCAATTTACAGATGTGCAAATAGGCATAAAGCTCACCATCACCACATGGGAGACATTCACTACTTGAACTAAGCAGGGTTTGTATTGCTCTCTGGACTTCTACAGTCTGTTAGAGACCCCGATATGCTCAGAGCTAAAAAGCATTGTTGCTGTTTTACCAGCTGGTGAATTCCTTGGGAGGATGTTCCTCCTGCACAGACAATGTTAATATGATGGAAGCTGCATTTCACTGCCAAAATGGCCAGATAAGGATTTCAGCCATCCACATCTGCAGTACTAGTTGGGTGGAGTTTGGTTTTAATTTTACAGTTATATCTTGTGACAGATATTTGAAGGGAGAATTATAATAGTTTTAAGGAGAATGAAGAAAACTATAAGCAGGGAATTTTACAGGAACTGTAGGAAAACTGTACTTCCCTCAGCTGCCCACATTCCCAGATACATCTCTGTCCTTCACATGTGATGGCTGCTTCACTTCCTACAGGAAATGAGTTTGATACATTTCTGTCCATTTCCTGGAGAACATGTGTCCATACTGCAAACCTCAGCGTTACAAAAGCAGCCTCTGCCAGCAATCCTGAGAAAAGCTGAGGTGTATCTGAACCACAGCAACTTCTCCTCTCACCCTGGTAGAAACTCCAGTTATTAGTACTAGCACTGGCTATGAATGTGCCCACAGGAGAGCACTGCCTTTTCTGAGGATGAAGAGCTGTTTTCCATTGTGCTAATTTGACACGTTTTGCTAGGGCTAAAATACACTTTAGTGATGGGAAGGGCTATCAGTTGCCCCATGATCCCTGGTATTTCCTGTGCTATTAGTTTATACATTCTTTTTCCCTTCTGCTGGCCTATAAAATTTTAGAAATTATCTGAAAAATTCCACTGGTTACTTCCTGCATTGAAAAAGAGATACCTGACAGCTGAAATTCTTAAAAATGTGTCAACTGCCAGTTATGTTGCATGTCAGTGACCAGCCCTGTGCAAGGTTTGTAGGTGTTTCCATATGTCTGATATGCAGTTGCTTATTAAGAACATCTTAGCTTAGTATCATGCTAGGCAAATGTAGTATTTCATCAGAGCACTCACATACACAGATATTTCAAGCTTATCTCAAAAAGCAAGCTGAGATAGGTACATTAATTATGTTACCTGAAATCCAAGCTAATTAGCCTTGATAGACCATTGTGTTGACATGGATGCGCTCCTTCTGGTATTTGTGATAGCTTTCTTAATTAGCAGATTCTGTAGACAGCCCTGCTCTCTATCACATAGATACACTGTACAATCTAATCGAGTCTAAGCAAGCCCAAGGGTATCTTAACGCCAGTCAGTGCAGCACAGGAAAACAGACCATTATCTGTCATAGCCAACACAGACAAGAGACTACTAGTTTTTAGACACATTTCAGCGATGACTCATTGCTGCTGTGCAGCCCATTCTGCTGTTCTGACTAGATAAAAACAGCTGAATCCTATGTACTAGCCTTGGTTTTAGCAGCTTCACCTGCTAAGTGGAAGGGGATTTGAAAAGACTCCAACAATATTGCAAAGATACAGACAACCCTTCATCCTCTTTGTATATTCATCCAATACCATATTTTTATGAGAGCATAGGCTTAGATTAATCTTAAAGAGAGATGCAGCTTCATTGCCTGCTTACTAGTTAACCTTCTAAAACCCATGTTGCAAAGCCAATAATCAACTATCACAAATATAAACCTCTAGATATTCCTAGTAACAGTTTTACAGTATCAAAGCATGCTTTGGATAATCTGTGTCATGCCAATAATACACAGGCCTTTGGAGCAGATGCTGTCTCTGCTTCCAGTTTATTAGTTTCCAGAGCAAGAAAGTTGGCAAAGAGGCCTGTGTATAAACAGTGAGTTAGCAGGCCCTTCTGAAGGCGAGCTGAGGGAGCAGAGGTACTAGGACTGTAGAAGATGTGAAATGCTAGCAGTGAGGTTTTAGAAAACCTTTAAGCCTGGAAGACAACTTTCTGGGTGTAAAACCCCTGTGCTCAGTTTTCTCTGAAACCTAATTCTGTACTTCCACTTTTAGAGAAAAAAAAAAAACAAAAAAAAAACCAACAACAAAAAAACAGTGAAGACAGAAGAGGGAGGGTTTGCCTCTTGTCTAAAGAATAGTCTCCTAAACACTGTTTCTCTCCCCCAGGAAAACTTGCAGAAGCTGGTACACATTGAGCACAGTGTGAGAGGGCAGAGTGGCCTCCTCCAGCCAGGAAGGGTGAGTGCTGCAGGCAGACCTATGCTGTTAAGGACATTGTTTCTGGCCAGCTCTCTCTCTGATGGTTTGGATGGCCAGATTTCATGTCTACAGGTGTTACTTACTGAGCACTGTAACAAGAGCTGGAGCACTGATTTTATGTAAAAACCCATCACTCTGTCAGTGATATGTGCTGAAAGCCTCAGGCTCTTCCTGTGCTGCCAAAAGCAGTTAGGGAAGCTCTTTCCCCAGGAGATACATTCTCTTTTCTCAGTAAGATTCAGAATAAAACAAGTCTCAGGATTACAATTTGCTGTTTCTCCTTCAGGTCTTTGTAAAAGAGGGAACACTGATGAAAGTCTCTGGCAAAAACAGGCACCCTCGGCATTTGTTCTTGGTAAGATTACTTTTATACTTTTACTGTGTCTCTTTCGTCTTCTGCTCACATGCAGCTCCGAAACCCAGCAGGAGTTTTCAGACTGCAAGTTATTTGACTGTCAGCAGTGACATGGTGAGCCAGTTTCTGCTGCAAACAGGGCTGCAACTGTTTCCACTCATGTCCCATTGGCCCTGCAGGCTATGCAGCCCTCCAGTTGTGGCATAGCTAAGCCGAAATCCTGCAAAGCAATGAAAGTTTCCAAGGTGATCAACAGGACAGGAGCTCCTGAATACTTTCAGCATTTAAGTTTCACACTCTAAAGTTCAGCCCTAAGGCCTTAGGAGATCTGATTAGAAGCAAGAGAGAACACTCTACTGCTAAAGTTTATGAAAGCTTTTTTGGACTCACTTGGGAGACCTTTGCATCTTAGAAGCTCAAGGACCAGATTTTAGTGCCTGCTGTCCACATTTATGGAAGTTACCTGACCATTGTATGCATTACCTTACTATAGTCCCTCTGAGCACACACCTCCAGCTTCCTGCTGGTTAGAGCAACCGTTTTCAATGATGATTTGCAAAATTCTTCTAAGAAAAATGAACCTTTCAGCAGTTGGCTGGAACACTGTCCACAAGGGTCCACAACCCTAATGCAAAAACTGCAAGTATTCGCAAATCAAAACAGATGAAAAATAATTGTTTTGGAAATATGCTATTAACACACTTTCTGTTTCACATTACACACTACACTGAACAGTTAAGAGTATGTGAGACTCCAGGCTCCTAAGCTCCATTCTCAACTTTTCAGGCAGCTCATCATTGTGTATGTAACCACAGGAATTTTTATGCACCTATTGGTATGAAGGGGAAGATACCTGTGTCTTCAGAGGTTTTTTTACCTGCTTACCTGTTAATATTTGAAAAATTCTTTAGAGCTCCTTCTCAGGAAAGAGCCATAAACAACTGAGCATTACTGCTGCTATTAAAGTACTGTTCACACCACTTATTTTAAAATAAATGGCTTATGTGCCTGGAATATGTATTTGCTGTAGCCTCTGTAAGTGTTGACAAATTTTCACTCTGGGACCATTGTAAGGAGGAGAGATGGCTTATTGCAGAAGTCATACATTTTGCCATTAATTCTTCTTATTTCTCCCTTTTATTAATACTTCCTATTTGTGTATGAGTGGATGCACAAGCTTCTTTGCTTCTTTAGTCATTTATTGCAGTCATAATCAAAGATCAGATTTAATGGGACACAGTGCTGGCACTGCACTTTTCTGATGGCTTTATTGGTTTCTGTGAAAATTCAGACTTCCATGTACTGAAAGTGATGGATTTCACCCAGATCTTCAAATATGTGATTGCTGCAGTGCTGTTTTACTGAGTCAGCATAAATGGATTGTGACAGCAGCAGTAAATGTCAAAATCATTACTTTGTTACAGCCAAGGGAAAATGGTCCTACCTGAACCTCCAGGAGCTGGTCTTAAGAAACTGTTCTCAACAGCAGCAACTATGAAGCCTACTGATACTTGCTTCCTTACTGATCTCTCTTCTGAAGCAATGCCTTTGCTAGTGTTAAAAACAAAATTTTAAGTTGTGGATAAAGCTGGGACCAGGTTCCAAGAAGGTGGTACTATTTTGGCTTCAAGTGTGTTCATAACTGCTATCCTAATCTTCTATTATGGCAAATACTGAAGTGTCACAAACCTAGCCATTAAAACTGATAGAAATTATTTAAAAGGAAGATCAGAAATCAAGTTGGCAATAAACATTGAGAGAACAGTAATTTAAACTTGCATTAAACTGAAATAAATTTCAAGTAGTCCAAATGGTTGTATCAGCTTGAAAGGCTCAAGAGGCTGAAACTGTTACTAGAAGAAAGCAAGCACAGACATTAGTTTCTGGCACTTTCTAGTTTAGAAACTATTTTTGATTTCAAGGGGAGTTCAGCAGCTCAAACACGGATGTTAACTGCAAAGAGAGAAGTGTCTTTTGGCAGCTGGAGACATTACAGTAGCCAATGCCCTGTTGTAAACAGATGCTCAGTGTTCAGAAACAGCATTCTGTTCTTCCTTTCAATCAGAAAGGCAAACTGACCAAATGTGCTGTGATGAAAAGTATGTGGTGGAGCTAGACTAAAACACAGTGATCACTTCCAACAGCCAAGAGACGTATCAAACTGGCTTCTCTCCTGCTCTAACCCACTGAACTTGCCACCACCTCAGGCTTTTTGTATTATGTCTCCTGTTGGGACAGGACAGGCGTGATTGGATCTTGGAAACAGTTTGAAGCTTATTGGCAAATATTTTTTTTTACTTGGTCTCCTCTACCCTGAAAGATCCTCAGGTAGCAGCAGAGCACTGCTATGTATGGTGAAATTGCAGAAAAGCACAGAACATGGTAATTCCTGCATTAACACCTGAATAGATTTGCATTATCTGCTTGTCACTGCTAATGCTGTGGATTCTCTGTTGTGCCACCACCACTCATGCATTGCTTAATGGGACTGTTCAGCCTGTGGATACATTAATACAACTACTGCACAGCTATGGCAAAGTATTTTCATCTTGGCAAAGAGCATCCTAACTGCACCAGTCTCCTTAGGGAGCACTGTACATCCCTGTGCAGCCCATGCAGACCAGAGAAAGCATTTGGGGGCTTTTGGTGTGAGCATCTTTCTGGAGTTCATGTTGGGTGCATCACCAGGTTACTGGAGCTGGCCGTTTTGTGCAGCCTGCTGGTATTGTTGAATCTGGGGTTTCCTGGCAGGATGTTTGGTGAGTTCTGCTGTGCGCCTGTTTCCTGAGTCCAGTCTCTGTTTACAAGGATGTTGGGGCCCCTTTGCAGCACAGTGTGGGCTGCTGACACTGGCAGGACCCCTGACTGCCCCCCCAACCACAGGACTTTGCAACTTAGATATTGTCTCTTATCTGACCCTTCCAAGAATTTCTCTACAATGGCTGCTTGTGTTTAAGTGAGATGAGGGAAGGTACTATCAAATGGGAAACTGTTTATGCTTTACCTGGCAGGGATGAAGTACAGGAGGTTTTGGAGTCAGAGCTTAGAAAATACATCCCCAGCACACACTCAGGCTGCTCCACTGACACTCAGGGGATGTTTAACACAGACTTGAATAGAGCAACACAAGCATCATAATGAAATATCCTTTAAAACATTCAGAAAAACAAAACACGTGGTAGGGGCTTCTTAAAAAGACAGAGAGTACATTACATATGGATGTCAGTGGGTCAGCAGGACACAGATGAACCTGTTTGGATCAATAAATATGGACACTGCAGGTTAGAAAACTTGCACTGACTCCTATGTTACTGGGCTCCCATCACAACAGAGAGGATTATAAAATTAAAGGAGCAAAAATAAAAGTAGTTACAGAAAAAAAAAAAAACAACATACATATCCTCCTTTCTCTGTGTTATCAACTATTTATGTGTGTGGAGCAGTGCAGACTAGGAATATTTGCTCCCATATCAGTATCTGAGCAGTTTGGGGATCCAAATTATTCAAACATTTTTTGGCAAACAGGAAGCTTCCAGGAACTCCCCAGGAGTTACAGCCGTTGATCTACCACAGATTCCTGAGGCATTGTAAGATCAGTTTTTGTCCTGGCACAGTCCTCACTGCTTCAGGGGATAGTGCAGCAGGAGGATGCAGGAAACCACTGGGCCTGGTGCTTGTTCTGTCCATACCATTCATATAGCCACCGTTGAGGTCTCCAGTGAAGATGTGGTAAAGGAGCTCCACTGCCAGGGGGACCCTGGGAGAGTCAGAGCTGCAGCATCCTGAACAGGTAGTTTGCCATGTACTAAATGCAAAGCCTGCCTTCCCAACTTAAATATGGCATTGCCCTTAAAACAGGAGCTATTGCACCCAAGCTGACTAAGAAAGTTTTGATTATCTACTTGCTTAGCCATTAGAAACAGCCAAAAATCAAAGTCCTGGATGCAGACTACCCAGAGTTTTGTGGAAATGCAGGTCTCCATCTAGGCTGTGTGGCTTGGGCCTGTCTCTAGTAACAGTCCTAGCAGTTCATTGGGTTACTGCTTGTCCTGGGCCTCCCCCCCAGGAGAAATGGCCAGGAATGCAAGCCATACTGCAAATTATTGATTTTGTTTTTGTCTTCATATAGATGAATGATGTTCTGCTGTACACATATCCCCAGAAGGATGGCAAATACAGACTGAAAAACACCTTGGCTGTGTCAGGCATGAAGGTAATGCCTCATCTGTATTACAGGTTGGAATTCAAGCTGCAAAGTAGGCTGCTAGTGCTTTGCTGGTTTGTGTCTCATATCCAAAAAGGGGAGAAAGGGGATGGACCTGTTATAGGGAATTCCCTTGTCTCTTACAGCAGACAGAAGGAAAAATAAAAAGCAAAAAAAAAAAATAATTTATAAGGCTGCAACTTGGTACAACAGTCTTACTCAGGCTGCATAAATCATATAAGCCAAAATCAGATTTACCATATTATCATGAAACTGGAGACAGAAAATATTTATTATGCCATTTTGTCCATTCTCTCTTCATGCCTCCAACCGATGCATGGTTGTTCCCTATAACAGATTTACTAGGGCTTAGTCTGCCTGGTTTTAAACTACTGCCACTCAAAATTTACATAACCTTTCACTTGCCTGGTTTTCATATGCTCTTTACCTGTTTTCATCAGAAGCATTACTGGGTTCAGTAAGTGATTAGCCAATTCTATGGACAAAAGGTATATTTGGAACCATTACATACAATAATATAAACACAGTTGCTTCTTCTGTAAATTTCTAAATTGCAGGTTACAGAAACTGGAAACAGAAATTGCTCTTTTCTCACACTCTTCCCCTAAGAGTCACTGTCACCTGTGCCTGTGCAACAGGAGATTTTAGGCTGGAGGGGTATCTGCTTCTTACCTAGCCATCCATTACATACCTCCCAACAAGAACCTTCATAAGTGCTCTATACCTAATGTGCCAAGTTTATAGAGTCAGGGGATCTAAGAGACATGCAAGATGATAATTACTAATCATTAATTGCAGCAAAATTACATGAGTGGGTTGAGGTGTTTTGAAAAGGTGGGAGGCTGATCACTCTAGAGACCCAATAGTATAAATCAAATGATGGGTTTCCAGCTGGGGTAGGAATCACCAAACACTACCACTAAGTGAAAGGGAGTTGCAGAGCAAGTACTTGTGGTACATTTGAAACACTGAGTCACTGGCATTGTAGATCATAGAATCACAGAATGGTTTGGGTTGGAAGGGACCTTAAAGATCATCTAGATCCAACCCCCTTGCTATGGGCAAAGATATCTTCCACTAGACCAGGTTGTTCCAAACCTGGTCTTGAACACTTCTATGATGGGGCATCCTCAGATTCCCTGGACAACCTGTTTCTGTGTCTCACCACCCTCATAGCAAAGAATTTCTTCCTAATGTATAACTGAAATCTCCCCTCTTCCAGTTTAAACCCATCACCCCTTGTCCTGTCACTACCAGCCCTTATAAGAAGTCCCTTTCCCAGCTTTCCTGTAGGCCCTTCAGGTACTGGAAGGCTGCTGCAAGGTCTCCCTGGATGCTTGTTAATAACAACAGATCAGTACCATGAAGCTATGTTCCTCATAAGTGATTGTTGCTATTAGTAGACAACTAATTCACTACAGGGCAGGGAAGAAACGTTTTAGCAGAGCTGTAGCTTCTGAGTATTCATCCTTGCCCCGAGAACCTTGCTGCAGACACGCGTTTGCTGAGTGCTTCACTGCAAAACGTATGCGTGTCTGGGGAAAGCTGTTTCTGTTCATTTCAAGAACACCCAAAACTTTTGCCCAAAATGCTCTGACACTTGTCAGACTAAACATCTCCTAAGCTGGTCATATTAAAACTGAACTGTAATCAATGCTTTATATTTTGAATTAATTCTTTTTTTCCTCTAGCACCTCTACCATATAGAAACAGAGAGCACCCCTCATGGCACCAGCAATACAAAGGACAGGAACTCTACCTGCCCATCTCCTTGCACTGAAATATGAAACAGATAGCTGGTACATCATAGACCCTCTGAGACTTGTCTGGTGTACTGGTTATGGACAGCTTGACTCATGTCCACATTCATGTTCATGGCATTTGTTTCTAGGTCAGCCGCCCAGTGACGGAAAAAGCCCAAAATGTCCTGAAGATTGAATGTGATGAATACTGCATAACCCTGTCAGCAAGGTACTTGTCCCCCAAGCAGCAATGGCAGAGGGGGTTACATTCTAGAGCTGTATCTCTACATTAGTCTAACAAATACCCACGATTTAACTGGTGTCTCACTTTTAAAATTGAATTTCAGTTTGTGCTATTGTGACAGAAAATGTCTGAGTGCTTGATTAAACAATGAAGATATTATAAATGGAAATGTCATAAAGTGTAATCAGTTCAACTCGTATGCTGAGTAAAGACTGCAAGTCAGCTCTATAACATCTTAAAGAGAAACGAAAGAGAACAAAATCTTTTGCTAAGAATCCTGGGTCCTTTTCATTATCTTTCACACTTTTTCCTTGTGACAAGTCTGTTGTATCTCCTTTTGTTACCTCATACCACTGGGGCTGCAGAACTGCCAGAGAAAACAGTAATTAGGTAATACCATGCAACAGAAAGAAGAGCATTTAATTGTGCTAGAATGACAAAGCCAAAATAAAACCTTACTGGAAACCTCATGGGTCTTTCTAATAAAAGAAACTTCACTAATGAGGTTTTTTTTAGCACTAGTACCAATTGCAACTGGGAGTCAGGATCTTTTGTCCTGGGATGACAAGCTAATGTCAGAAAGAGATTGTAGGTTAGTTTCTGATTAGAAGCTAGCAGTGTATTGTATTTTTTTTTTAATGCTTCTAGCCCATAATTGTCCAACCAATTTAACTAGAAATACAGAAGAAAGGTGGCTGACTTGATTTTCAAGTGTAGTTTACTACAAAAGACATAACACACTAGCAGTTTCCCAAATAAAAGGTCTTCAATGCTTTTAAGTACTGGCTTTCCCACCATCAGTGTCCAGCTACAGCATAGCTGGAAACATAGCAGACTTCCCTAAATTACACAGTGTAGACTGTGTCTTCTGCTGCCCAGGAGACTGCAGTGACAATTTGACCCTCTATTTGCTTAAGGAAGAATATATGAGCCAATATGAATAACTGACAGCTTGGCACAAGAGGGGCAGTCCAAAAATCACACAGGGACCGAATGTGGCAACAGTGAATCAAGGCCTGAGCTTCTCTGAGCCTCAGTGGTCCTGCAAAAATTCCTGAGCCTTCATGGAAGACTACAGAATAGCTAATTATGAATAAGCCAGTGCCAATTGACATAATTTATCTTGCTCATCAGCAGACACGTGTTATTCCCCCATTTTTACACTAATAACCTGTGATTACTGCCTAGAGATGCTTAATGGTGTAGAAAAGAGGTTAAAGGGGCCAGTTAGATATCAAGCTTTTAATACCAGATTTTCCCTCGTCTGCCTTTCTCAAAGTAGGTTTAATTTACATCGCTATGTGGGCCATGAGTTCTTTTGTTTTTTTAAATCATATTTTAATTTACAAGTGAAGAGAATTTCGAATACAGGATTAGCAAGAGAAAGGTTGAAACCAGGACTCCTTCTAGCACTTGTCTGGAAGATAGAGACATCTCCAGATTTCTTAGAAAGTGTAATTTGACAAGACTTTTGGAGGTAATAAGGACTGACTAGCAGTGTGACTCTTGCCAGAGATGATCTCCTGTAACACAGCCCCTTGGCTTGCAGAGGTCCCATATGTAGTGGAGATACAAGCTCCAAGTTTCTGCTCAAATTTCTGCTCCAGGCTTGTTGAATTTTACAGGGGCTAGTGTTTTAGACAAGGGCTTATGCTCAGGGTGCAGAGGGATACCGCAGCAGAGATCAGTGATAAATCTGGCATTTCCTCTCTTCTTGTCTTTCCTCTTTTTTTTTTTTTTTTTTTAAGATCACAGAAAACAAATTGTTCTTAGATGTCTTGTCTGGCGGCCCTCATGAGGAAATGTGAGGAAATCACAGCTGAACAGCAGCTGGCAATAATGCCACTGCTAATTTTTACAGCAAAGTCTTTAATGTGAGTGGCTGGTTTGACTTGGGGAGGGGAGACTACACTGTGGTCCCCCCTGTGACTGATGCTGGGAGCAGCTAGAGCCGTGCAGAGTTTCAGAGGACAGGAAGCACACTGTTTGAAGTCACAGCAGGACAGCTCATGGCTGTCACAGAGCAAATGCATCTGGGAAGTAACAGGCACAAAGAGCCCTGCTGCTTTTCTGGGAGACCTGGACCGGAAGGGAAGCACAAAGTGCTCCCTGTTTTACCTTGTGCAAAGGGGGCATCTAGGGGCCAGTTTGGAGAACTACTGGCCTCCATGCATAATTGCAACTAAAGGAATGCAGAACTTTCTTCCCAAATTGCTGTCCTGGCCCCTTGCCAGGATACTTGAGATTCTCTGCAATGGACCTAGAGGAAAATGAGAGCATTCACATCTCTACCATGGGTGACAGACTTCTGCTTTTCCCAGCATGCACATCACTTAAGCACCCACTGCAGAGAAAAGCATAAACACACTTACTTCGAGCAACCCATGCCAAAGCTGCATGCTCTGGAGTGCCAAAAGCTAGGGCAAACACGGCAAAAGGAGACATTTCATATTGTCCTGTGTGATCTAGGATTAAGCAGCTTATTGCAAAGCCAGAGACTACTTTGAAAATTTTTCTGGGACTTTAGTTCCTTCTAAGTCACAGTCTTAACCATGGATCTACACTAATCACCCTGATGAGTATGTCCAACACTCAGTTTTGTTCCTTGTCAGAAAATTACCAGTTCATTGCAGAAGTGGGAAAAAGCAAATGTTTGTAATGTGAAGCTTTTATCCAGAAAGTTTGTTTCAGTCCCTGCTGTGCATAGCATTGACTGCTCTGCTGTATTTCATTCCACAGCTCTTGCTTGGAAAGGGATGACTGGTACAGCTGCATCAGCAGACACATCCCAGATGACTACAAAGCTCCCAACACTTCCACTTTCCACAGCAGCGTGGAGGTAAAAGGAGGCCAAGTATTTCAGTGCTTGAAAGGGGAAGAGGGAAGGGAGAGAAAGGAGGAGTGTTATATACTCTGTGGTCTTTGCTTAAATAGGAGTTCTTCTGGAGGAAGACTTTTTTGTCCTAGAGGGTAACTATTGTGTATGAACTAAAAACAGCTATGAAGTTCATAGATTTAGAAAAAAAAAAAAAGACCCAGTAGTTATACTAATGTCATATACACAGTGAAGTCACTGCCAGTGCAAATCCCACCAGCAATATGCTAATTGTTCTTGCACAATTTATGTACATTATTCTAATCTCATTAATTTCAGTTGTACTTCTCCCTGTTAAGAAAGCAAAGAATACATCTGACAAAAAGTAAAAACGCTGTTTCATGTTATATAGAACCCTAGTTTTACCAAGCAGGGGAAAAAAAATGCCAGTGAGGCCACGCTTGCAGTGCTGTGTCCAGTGCTGGGCTCCTCAATACAAGAGAGTCATGGAAACCTTGGACAGAAGTGCAATGAAGGGCCACAAAGATGATGAAGGTGCTGGAAGATCTCTCCCATAAGGAAAGACTGAGAGAACTGGGACCGTCCAGCTGGGAAAAAGAGAAGGCTCAGGATTTTTACCTGTTGTGGCTCTGGCTTTAAAAGCACCATGTCTTTCAGTGCTGAAGCAACTCACAGGGTGCATTAGGAATTAGAGAATGTGGGGATCTTAGCAGGTGAAGGTAGACTGAAATGAGAGAACTGTACGTGATGGAGCAGGGCTAACTGAGTGGACTTTGGTACTTGTGGATGCTTCTTCATTTGTTCTTGTTGAATTTAAGCTAAGGGAAAGGCTTGGAATATCCTTGGGTGAGAGGCCTCCTACTTTGGTACCTGTGTCCCATGTCATGATGTGCATGAACTGTGGCTGTGACTTCACCCTGACTTTGAGGCGACATCATTGCCATGCCTGTGGGAAGGTAAGAGCTGTCCCAGTTTCTCATGGAGGCTTTATTGACACCTCTGGGACACTGGCTACCGCTCCTGTAACTTCTGCAAACTTGTGGCAACATTAAGTCTAGGATCTGACTTCTCACAGAACCTGTGTGTTGCTAAATTAGGTAGTTAGGTTTACACTGATTCTGGCAATTGTATGGAGTTCCAACAGTAACCTTCCCCCAAGGGTCAGTTTAATTCCCAAAGGCCAGCTGTTGAAGGCCTGGAGGGCAATTGTTGCTGAGCGCAGCTGCATATGATAAACATCTAACTCTAGAAACAATGAAGCAATACACTAAAAATACAGGCTGTGTTCTGGACCCTGAGCAGTAGCACATCTAAGTGCATCCATGTCCTGACCCTAGGAACAGCTTGAGAAGTTAGCTTCCAGAAGGGAAGAAACTCACAAATAGAGCACAGCTGGGTGCCTGACCAAAGGGGGTTTCCTCTATGCTGCAGTGAAAAGCTGCTACCTTTTGCCCTAAAGCAAATGGAATATAAACTGCCTTGGTTTTGTCCCTTTAGCACTGACTGTATAAATTTGTTAATACAAATAATCCTGCAGTCCAGTTTTAAACCATGGCTGCCTTTTAGCCTCACTGATTTTTATTTTTTTTTTAATCAAACTACCAATATTTTTGCTAGTATAAAAAAGCATTTACTTGATCCACAGAGAAAAATCAATCTGTACCTACACAGAGATAGTGGGAAAAATGTTACTAACAAAGTTATGAAAACAGAAGTAATATTAAAGTGGTATTTCTGTGATTCAGCATTAGGGAAGATTCCTGGGGAGACAGGCACAACAGTGGTGTGCAACCTAATACAGTGATCAATTTTGCTTGGCTTTCAACAGTGTAAACCCACAGCAATCACACTTCAGTCAGTACTTACCCTGATGGCCACAGTTTTAGGAGAGTCATATCTGGTCCACAATCTATCATCCTCTCCCAGCCACATCTAAGGTTTTGTTTTGTATGTGCATATATATAAAGTTTAAACTATATTAACATGCATCTCTCCTTGCTGGAACAGATTGTATGTCGAAATTGTTCAAGAAACAAGTACCCTATGAAGTACCTCAAAGATCAAGCAGCCAAAGTCTGTGATAGCTGCTATGTGGAACTTAGGAAAAGAGGTAGGGTTCCTTCATTCTTAGCTAAACTGATAAACCCATTTCCTGCCTGTAAAATGGTAGGCTTTAGTATCAGTCTAACACGTTGTTTTGTTAAAAAGCTTTTCTCATTTCAAGCCTGAGGCATGTGTATGGAGGTCCCAGGAGAGCCAGGCAGTAATGGCAGCTAACACTGTGTTAGCAATCCAGGTTCTCTGAGGGCTCCCCTTGGCCTTTTGATAAACCAGTATGATAAAAACTGTGTCCTATGAGAAGCAGCTGGGAACATGGGGTTGGTCTAGTTTGAAGAACAGGAGACTGAGGGGTGACCTCTCTGCAACTTCCTGAGGAGGGAAAGTGGAGAGAGCGAGGTGCTGATCTCTTCTCCCTGGTATCCAGTGACAGGAAGTCAAAGTTTCATCAGAAGAAGTTCTGACTTGAGAAGAGGAAATATTTCTTTACCCAGAAGGTGGTCAGACACATCAACAGACTTTCTAGAAGTGGTCCATGCCCCAAGCCTGACAGTGTTTAAGAGACATTTGGACAGTGCCCTTAAAAACAAGCTTTAACTTGTGAATTGGTCAGGCAGTTGGACTAGACGATCACTGTAGGTCCCCTCTAACTGAAGTGTTCCATGATTAATTGTAGGTGATAGCTCTTCCTCATAATTTCTAATGAATTATCCATTAAATTAAATAATGGCTTTACAATTCCTCACTGTCCATATCCATGTTGTAGCTTTTACAAAAAGAAATGGTGAGGTCAAGTGCAGAGTCACTAAGAGCTTTTTTACATGGGGAGTTAATCTGGTTAGAGATGAAAGTCTGAAGTCAAAGCAGAAGAGCTACTGCCTAACCAAAACTCTGTATTATTGTCCTACTATAAAAGTCCCTTTTCACATCCAAACCAAAAGATAAGGGACACACACACAAAGGTTACATGGTTACACACATATGAACAGAGAATAAACAGGAAATAATGTTCTTGCACAACTATTCCTGTAGACAATCTCTAAAAGGAGGCACATCATATTGTAAAGGATAAAAAGGTGCATACAAATTTAGTTTTTCCATCCTGATTACAGAAACTTACTGCCCAGGCAATGACATGAATGGATGCTGTCACAGCAGCTAAAAAAGCATCCCCAAGCCACTGTCCAAGAAGTGATAACTCCAGTTTGTGCTAAAACAATGCTGTGCTTTATAAGAACTTCCAAATAATGTGTGTTGCCAGAAGTAAGACCATGCAGATATGAACTCAGACAAGAGGGGTCAATAGAAATTGACAGAACAACTCTCTCCCATGCAGAACTCAAGAGTGGTTCATACAGAACTAGTGTCCTAGTGAATCTCTCCTGCAAAGGTGCTATGGAAAAGCCATTTGCTTAATGTCAATTTTAAATTAGAATAAAACAAGCTGCATTTTGGACTTTGTCAATGTTTCTGGAGACTTCTTTCAAGTAGCTGTACGTTATTACCATTAATCTAGGGTGCTACGAGGGTGCTATTTAAATAGTCTGTTTTTCAAAGGTCCTGTTGCTTCTGACGTTCTTGTTACAAAAAATGACATCAGAAGTTCAATCCATACAACCAATCTAATCAGACTTACAGGGGTGATTTGAAATGAAAGCTAAAATAAAAACTGGCTATGAAGGAGGCACTGCATTTTCCTTAGTCACTTGCATTAGTGCATTTTGTGTCTCTTACCCCTAGTCTGATATGAACCAATTCATCCATTTTCCCCTTCCTTTTCTTAATCTTACAGAGCGACCACTTAGTGTGATCTTCCCTTCAACTTCATCCAGGTGTTCAAGCAGTGCTTTCTCTTCTGTCTTCCACAATATTCATTATTCATCTTTTAAGAAACAGAAGAAGATCCCTTCTGCTCTTATGGAGGTAGGACCAAGCTGCCTGAGAAAGGCAAGGAACAACAGAGATCAATGTGCTTGTACTTCAGCAGCTACGTTGATTAGTTACTCTGTGTGCAATGGGCTCAGCACATACTGTGGTCTACTTTTATCATGCAAATATTTAATATTTTTTTTGTTTTCCACAATAGTGTTTAAAATACAAAAGACTTTGAGCTCTGAAGATACCATAGACGTTTCCTGGTCCCTCTGACAAACTCAATTAGAACAGCATACTTTTGCTCAACAGGCTGTGAAGTCTTTAGAAAACTAAGATGACTTCAAAGTACCAGATAGTACAAGGCAGATCACAGACAATGACAGGAACGAACAGTACATGATACACTGTTCACCAGTTACCTTTTTTGACAAGACTTCCTTCTGATTTCAAGAGAAATAAAGAATCACTTACTTAGGGACTGGTCATCAGTTCAGAAGCATACATGTTGAATTAGGCATTTTCCCTCCAGCTCAAACCAAACTATTTCCAATTAAATGGGCAAAATCTTGTTCCTACCAATGTGAACAAATAAAATTCCCACCAATTTCAAAAGCTGGGATTTCTTCAGCTATTTTAGTTTTCTTTACAAGTACAAGATGCCAATCATGTTGGTTAGTCTAGGTAGATAAGTTGCCCATTGAACTCAAAAGCACAGGAAGGTACTCCCATTTCACTGAAACCAGCAGGTATTTATGGTTGTATTAAACAGAAGAGGATGCAGACATCTTGCTGAACTCCCTGTACAGTCGAGTTGTGCTGAGCTGATGTTAAGCCAAAGATAAAAGCATATAATACAACCACATAAATTGAATACTGAAAGAACCAGCAAGCAAAATTTCAGCCCCATTAGGAAACAAACATTGGCTTTCTATCCACAAGGAGGCAGCAGATATTTATTAATATGAACCCTCACAATATCATTGCTCCATAACTTTTTTCTAACTTGATTTACCAAGGTCCTGGAACATTTCTGTTCTGCTGAGTGTGATTGTCAAGTGATTAACATAAATTTGTATAAAACCATTGCAAAGCCTTAAATATACCCACATCTGAAAAGTGTTCAGCCACAATACTGTAATTCCCTTTTGGAAGCATATACTTATAATACACTGGAAAAAAAAAAATAGACATGGGGAAAGGGACAAGTTTAGCTTCTCAGAACACAACTGTAAACCACCGGCTGACCTCAACAACAACTCAAGTGGGTATTTTCCATCAGTTACTGAGAACTAAGTTTCACCAGAAATCTTTAAACTGTTAAAAAGAACCATAATACCATGGTTATTTTTTTTTCTGTCTCAGTATTTTTTATGGTCTCCTTTTGGTTTCATGGACATAGACCTGGTTGTCTGATGTGATGCAAACATGCATAATCAGCAGGGGAAAAAACTTTGTTTTTACAAATCCTCATTTTTCCTACCCTGCTCCAGGTGGCAGCTTCAGGAGAGGGAGCTACCATCAGTGGTTACCTCAGCAGATGTAAGAGAGGCAAAAGACACTGGAAGAAACGCTGGTTTGTTATCAAAGGCAAAGTCCTCTACACCTACATAGCAAACGAGGTACTGTGCAGTCTGACTTGAAACAGTTTACTATCCAAGTTCCTTCCTTTATTCCCTACAGGCAGCACAAGTAAATTAGAAAGGTGTAAATGGCAGTTCTCAGAACTGCCAACCTTCTGGAGCCTTTGTCCTGACTGCCTGAGCCCCAGGAGCTGTCCTTGGCTGAAGGACAGAGGCGCAGCCCTCGCTGCACCTCAGCAGCCCTCTTCAAAATGTCCTTCATTGTTTGATTTCATGCTATTCACTCTGCTATAAACTGTCAACTGCTGTGACCCTTAGTCTGTGTATATACACCTAAAGACTTCAAGGTGCTCAGGTGTCCTCTGGTGCAAAGTAGTAACTGCCAGATACTTTGCAGAGAAATGATGCTATGATCCATTTCTTGTGGGAAGGAGAATCCTGCCGTTTTGCAAGTATAAATGATAAATATTTGTCCTACTGGTACCAACAGGGAAAGATAGAAGGCAGTCTGCAGAGGTGAGAATAATGCCTAAGCTTCTCTTTACAGCCAAGGAGATTGGATATCACCTGAATCATTTTTATGTATTTTGTCTCTTCCTACTCCCTTTTCTTATTTTCATTTCCTCACCTTTGTGAACAGCTTCAATAAAAATAAAATCTAACTAAGTTTGATATAAATTTTGGTTATAACTGACAGATTTCATAAGCAGAAGCATAAACATTAATTTTGCTGAACAAAGGACACAGAATGCAAGAACTATTGTACTAGCAATATTTGGTACTTTAAGCATTCAGAACACTTCTGCAACATCAATTATTTAAGCTTTCATCACCACTGCAGTGGCTGCATAAAACACCATTATCCCCTTTAAAAAGACTAGGAGATTGAGGCACAACAGAGTTAATGATTTGGCCAGAAATTCAGAGTATTAGCACCATATTTTATATCAAATACATTTACCTTACCTCTGCTAACCTTATAAATGATTATTTCTGGTTCAACAATAGGGAATCTGTGTGATTCTGCATCAAAAAGCAACAGATGGCTAATGACATTTTGCGTTCCTGTTTTGCAATTTAGCTTCTATAGCAGAGGCAAAGGCAACACACACATACAGAAAACATCACCTAAAAACAGCAATCAAAACTGCAGCTCTCAGATAGAGGTAAACTGCAGTTGGATTAAGGCTTATTGTTTTAGTTGTACAAAACATTGTCTGGCAAGCAAAATTCACAGATATTTATTGGGAGTAAATTAACCATTAATTGCATTACCAGCTCAGAAATATCAAATAAGTATTTTGGAAAGCAAATGTGCTGTTTTAGACAATGCAGATTATTAAAAAGTTGATAGTGCTATAAAAGGAAATTACAAGGTCCCAAAAAGACTACTACTTGCACTCAGCAAATAAAAGTGGTTGAAAAAAACAGAACTGGAAGCAAGTCTCAGGCTTTCAGAACAGTTGCTGTGCTATCCCCCATACTCCCAGTAACCTCTAGTTTGCCTCCTGAACCCTTATGTCAAATACAGCTATTAAGAGTAATGGCTGATTTGACCTTCCTTGCCACGTGGATGATCACAAAGAACTGGACTTTCAGGGGTGATGTTCAAGTTCAGGACTAAGACTAGATGAACTTGTGCACAGGCACCACTCCTGGTTAGGCAAGAGCCACCAGTCCAGCAGCAGATTCACATCACTGCTTTTGCATCCCAAAGAAGGGTTATCTCACTATTTGGTGATATCATTATCAGAAAGAGCCTCAAACTGTTACAAACCCTGTCTCTAATTTTTTGTTCATTTCTTTTTTGCTTTCAGGACAAAGTTGCCACAGAAAGTTTGCCTTTGCTGGGTTTCACCATTGCCCCAGAAAAGGAGGAAGGAAGTATGGATCCAGTTTTCCACCTCTACCACAAGCAGACTCTCTTCTACAGCTTCCGAGCAGAGGACAACAATTCAGCACAGAGGTAACAGGGATTGGCTTCCACACTGACCAGTGTCCAGCTCCAAAGGCATACATACAGCTTTACCCTCCCTTCCCTTCAGAATGCCTTCGTTACAGGAAACCAACAGCTTTCAGGAGTGTTGATTAAGCCCAGTGCCTGTGACTGGCCTGGGCAACATTAACAATCTACCCAGTGCTTTTCAGCTGCCTTTGGGAGTAGAGTTTGCTCCATTGTGTAGATAAAGAGGAAGCTGAGTCTTAAGAGCCATGCCCAGAAGTCTGTCAAATGAGGTTACTGCACACAAACTTCTCTGATTTGTGTGGTGTTTGTCTAGCTCTCAGCTTTCTCATCAACAAATAATTGTTCAGATTTCCCATTCTAATGCTACTACTTCTACATAATAAATAATGAAACTAGTAATAAAAATGCCAGCACCTGGTGACATACAGGGAAAGAAATCAGTGTTTATGGGAGATTTTGGTGCTTTTAAACATAGTTCAGTGTTTTCATCTTTCCTACTCTAAGACAGCTCTTGTACTATCTTTGATATTTTACTGCTAAAGGTTGTCCTAGAACAGCAGTCACAGTACTACCAAGTTTCCTGCATCGATCTGGGAGCTGGGATGGCCAATATAGTTCTCTTTGGGCTTTATGTTCTTAAAATACATATGCTCTTGAAATGTACATAATTTTATAAGTACCACTTTTCTTTTCTTTTTTTTTTTCCTGCCCTTTTCAGGTGGATTGAAGCCATGGAAGAAGCATCCATATTATAGCAGCTATTACTCAATGGACTTGGAATAAATTCTCAAATTTCTATACATTCCTGTCAAACCACTTTTCTCTTACAAAACTGAACAGTGTATTTCAGGAAAACTGGCTACGTACACTGGATATGAACTGTTTCCCGATTGCTCTTTTTGCTTCCTTCTTCTTACATCCACATTTTTGCAAAAGGAAACTTTAAAATAGAGAATATTTATGGTGGTCTTTATGTCTGTGCAAGTTCAACCTGTACTATAAGCTTCTCCTCTGATCCCACATTAAACTAAGTCTTAATATCAAGACAAGAAAACACATGGAAATACTGACTACAGTAAATTACAGGCTCAGTTTTACTTACTCTAGAGCACTATTATATTTCATTGGGTTGGTTTTGATGTCTACTATGAAATGAGAAACAATATAGTAAACAACAAATGCTCATTTAAAGCACTTTATTATTTTTATTGAACTACAGCTTCATTTTTCCATGTTTCTAAGGAGTTCTGTGGCCCAATTTCTCATCCATTAACAAATGTCAACATGAAATTATGCCCTGCATACGCTAAATTGCTTCCACAGAAAATGAATGAACAATACATTCAATTTACCTGGTCTACCAACACTTCATTGGCTATGATCCAGGATAATTGCTGTCAATTTATAATTTTACAGAGATTACTGTATAATTTATATTAAAGGCTTTTATTCCATACTACTACAGTACTTTGAAATGCATTCCAGCAGCTCTAGAAATCCAGACATTGAATTATATCACTTCTCCCTAAACACTGCAGACTCAAACCCAAAGGTTATTTTTAATTTATTATAAACCTACAGTTTTTATTTAACACTAGTCTACCTAGTAGTGTTAAGATTTTTATCACCTATTTAAATAGTCTATTTTTCAAAAGGTCCTGTTGCTTCTGCCGTTCTTGTTATGAAAAATGTCATCAGAAGTTCAATCCATACAACCAGCACACCACTGGAAATGTGCTGGTGGGCTGAAACGCACTTGTCTGAACCTGCTCCCTGGAGTGCTCTGAACTCCTGCGGCTGTCTCTTACATCAGACTTCTGCTGTGCACTACATCTCCAGGGCTGGATTCTCAGCAGCCAAGTGTCTGTAGGCCTTCAAAGAAGATCTGCTGCTTTACACCAGCTGAGGATGTAAATCTCTGGAGTTTTGGGGGTTGTTTTTCTGTTGTTTTGGGGTTTTTTTTTGTTTGGGTGAGGGTTGGAATTTTTTGGTTTTAGTGTTTTGGGTTTTTTTTATAAAGGTTAAGATGTGGTGTTCTAATCATTGCAATAAAATGATTTGTGTCCTGTATTTGTCATAATACTTGACTGAGAAATAGAATGGCATTTATGATTAAAATATATCTTTGTATAAAAATACCATGTTCAAGAATTTACTTGCATTAAACTATATTGGGGGAAGACTTATTTTCATTTTTCTTTTTCTTCAAAGAAGCTTAATGGATATCTGAATTTTTGATCCTAACAAACTGTTTAGAATTGTCCATATTTTAAAAGGTCTACAGTATGTATCCAACTGATAAAGGCAGTTCAATATATCGCCTGGGGAAAAAAAATAGCTTAAAAAAAACCCAGATACACAGCTACCACTAATTAAAAAAACAGTTGTTTTAAGGGGTTTTTTTATTTATATTTGAGTGTGAAAGCTTCAGAAATTATCATATGCAAACAGAAACCAAGTATGGGAAATGTAAAACTTGTATTCTTTATTTAATATACGAACACCAATGTTAACTATTCGTTTCATGTTAGAACCATGGCCTTGCTACCAATGCACTGCAAATGTTTATCCCCCCTTTAAAATATTCTGCACTGACAAAAAAAAGAAGAGAATATTGAATAAAGAGCAAGACCTCTAATCATGGTCCCAAACAAAACAAAACTGCACTACACTACTGCACTGCAGAACAACAGTGTTATGAAGATTTAGGTGCTGACATTTATTGACGGTTGTATGAAGTTTTCAATTATAACCAGGAAATGAATACATGAAAATATTTTGTTGTAAAAAATAAGATACAGTGCTATTAAACATTGTTTAAAGTAATGTGGAAAAATAAAAAAGCAAAACATAACTGCAATTCTACAGGCTTTTCCTTTACATTATCTTCTTTAATTCCAGCTTTGCTCTTCCAGTTGATGTTAGGACAGTTACCTATTAACCAATTCTCTGACAAACTAGAGAAGGGCATAAAAGCAGAAGACTGTAGTAGAGGCCTTCTGTTCAAAACAGGATTCAGACCTCACTGCTATCAAGTGTTTTAGTCCACACTGCCTTTACCTCCTGCAAAGCCTGCCTGCCAGTCAACTCCACTTCAGCTACAGATATAAACAGTCTCAACAGTTTTAGTCGAACTGTTCTTCTGAGCAAAGCTAAGCAGAGAGAGACATTATCTCCATTTCAGAATAAATCCAGTGATCAACTTTCAGAAAATTAACATCCTAGAATAGAGGTATACAGATACTCAGTTTACTATATGCCATTTACTTAGAAACACTAACTTGTAGTTAGTATTGCTTCTTCAAAACAAATAATTTATTCCACACTTCCACAAATGTTTAAAAAAACAGAACAGAAATAATTTGCAGTGTACTAGGTATTCAGTCAGTAGTTCAGATACAACCTGATCTCATTTGTTTTTTCAGTGAGTTTCTGCTTATTTTGCCATTTATTGATAAGCATTCAAATTATTAGCCATTATCTACACATAATACTTGGATCTATCTTACAGTATATGCCTAGTTAAAATCTGGCTTTTATACCATTATTTATTTTTCCAAACAAAGTACAGGTTCCTCAGCACTGGGAAGTATTCAGACATGACAAGATCCCCATACCTTTTACACAATGCTGCTGATCCAGCCCTGGGCCTTCTGCCTTTCCTGACCTAATTCTGTTTTCTGATTGATGAAAAGCACAGCACTGGACACCAACCATCTGGGCTTTTCCTGTTGCCATGCTTTTGTACAACAGCAACGAGGGCTACTTTGGCTGTAACTGCCTTCAGTGAGTATCCCTGCTCATGAAGGGAAATGAAGTGGCAACACTAAGTGAGGGAAAAGGTTCTCACTTGTCACTTTGTGAACCTTCTACAAGCTACGCTTAAAACTCCAGTCTAACTTCACAAGTTACTTAGGTACATAGCATACAAACTTATGTGTACTAAAAAACAGTGAGATTTTGATTAAGTTTTCACAAGAAAGCTTCTAGACTTCAAGGCAGCTTTACAGTCCCTTTCAAAGAGACAAAAGTAAAAATTTATTTTTTTAAAAGACCTTTCCTAAAACACCCATTTCAATATTCTGAAAGTCTTCCTTTTCCACAGAATAACAACAAACACCAGGAAACCTTTACAGTGCCCTTGAAACAGCATTGCCATCCTTTGCCATGCTTTCTTTATATTATTATTACTAAACTACAAGGGTTGAACATTCGTTCGATTATTTTAATAGATTTTTTCCCAGATAAGTGTTGCAACTTGTTTACAATCTATATGCCCTGGAAAGGCTTGGAAAACCGTTTACATGAACATGCTCTGCATTTTAAAATCTTTTTACTTGTAGAACTACATTTTTATGTCCTTTCTTTGCTCCTCTTAAGTTAAAAGAAACTGGAGGACAGTTTAAACTGCCTAGTAGTTGCCTATATTTTCATTTAACATACTATACGTCATGTTATTAAATGTAGTAGATCACAAATGTGATCTTAAAGCACCAGAGGAACTGGAATTACTTTCTATTCATACTAACAGTTCTTAGATAGCAATCATGTCCTGCAGTAGTAATAATCTTGAGATCGCTCTGAACTTTGGGGCATGGTTAGGATTTTGCACTGCTCTTGCTTTTCAGTGTCTTCAATGTGTAACAGTTACATATTGTTCTTCAAATTGCTTTTTACGAACAGTAATAAATTTCCCTATATGGAATTTATTGCACAAGAACTCTTTCTAGCTTATTCTCCGCAAAATTTCACATCAAAGTACAGCCACTACAGGAAAAACAGAAATTATTGATCAACAAGTTAATTATTTCAGAGTTTGGTGCACAAGACAAAGGGATCAGGTGTGCTCTGATGTTGTCAATTAGATGGGAGAAACCAGCACCTGCAACTCGAGCTCCTGATTAGTAAGCAAGTCCAGTAATACCATAAACACGGCATTCCAGAATGGAGAGAAGTCATTGCGCTCTGTAGTGTTCTCACTATCCTTGAAGCACAGACTGTCTCAGCAGACAGTGTGTCCTCTATTACTTAAACTCAATCTGACTGCATGTACACTCACGGGCTCCCTAGAAAGAACTGCTCAAAGGCAAATGCCACAGATTGTACCCAGACAGCACTGCACCTTTGTCCTTGCACATTCTGGAGACAACAGCAAGTACCATAAAGCATTTAAAGTTGCATCTTTTACTCACTGGAGCAGTCCCCACTGCACAAGCAACAGAAGTCTCACCACCACCTAAGCCTTTTGAGTACAAGGAATCACTCTTCTCTTTCCAGAATAAAACAGCATGTTATCAGCTAAATAACCACCCTCTCAGATAAACCACCAAAACTATTCAGAACTCAGTCTGAAGCGAGATTTTTCTGCAAAAGCCCAAAGGTTAGAGCAGTCAGCAGACACGATGTAGGGAGAAATGACGGCCAAAAACCGGAGGATGGAGGTCACCAGCTCCCCTCAGCACTGCCCAGCCATGTACAAACCTGAACACCAGGCACAACGGCTCGCATGCCCAAAATCATCTACTAGCACTTAGATTTAAATGGAATATGGCATTAACAAGTCCAAACCGTTTATAACATTAACGCCTTCTCAGCTTTTCAGCCAGTTATAAGTGCTGAAGTCTTCCATGCAACATCTCGGCTCTACTCTTAAAATCCACCTCCGGTTTCAGGAAAATTCTATGAAAATTTTAAGCATCTGAAATAACAACTTAAAGTCGACAGAGCTCTACAGTGTTGTTACTCTCAAACATTT